GCTTGAGCCCAGGAGTTAGAGGTTGCTGTGAGCTGTAATGCCACGGCACTCTACCCAGGGGGGCAGCTTGAGGCTCTGTCTCAAAAAAAAAAAAAAAATGAGAAAGGATTAGGCTTGGTACCTGTAGCTCAGCAGCTAGGGCACTAGCCACATATACCAGCTAATCCAGCCCAGGCCGGCTAAAGAACAATGACAACTACAACAAAAAAATAGTCAGGCATTGTGCTGGGCTCCTGTAGTCCCAGGTACTTGGGAGGCTGAGGCAAGAGAATTGCTGAAGCCCAAGAGTTTGAGGTTGCTGTGAACTGGGACGCCAAAGCACTCTACTGAGGGCGACAAAATGAGACTCAGTCTCAAAATAAATAAATAAATAAATAAATAAATAAAAAGAGAAAGGATTAAAGGAATTGAGGAAAGCCCTAGGAAGATTAGGCACCTTTAAGGTGTGTATCTGGCATTACATAACCGTTGACATCCTCTTCCTCTAAGCCTGGTGGGGAGAGTGGGGTGACAGGAGTAAGTAGACTATGGCGCTGAGAATGGTAGGCACTGTCTCCGCGGGGACGTGGGCTCCGGCTCCGGCTCCGGCTCCGGCTCCTACACATTGACACCTTCTCCTGGAGCTCAGCTTCAGAGCCTGTCACATGGCCTTCTGATGACTCTGATGCCAGGCGTGTGCGTGGTATTGGATACAGAGAGACTGGACGGGGACACCTTTCACTACCTCCACAAACTGCAGAATCCTAAAGAGGGAAACAAACAGAAAATAACAGAAGAAGATTTACATAGAGACAAGGGAAGAAGGAGATTGAATAGTTCAATGCCTTCTTTTTTGTAGGACAATGATTCAACCTCAGAGTCTCACTCAGTTGCCCTGGGTAGAGTTCTGTGGTGTCATGATGGCTCACAGTAACCTGAAACTCTTGGGCTTATGTGATCCTCTTGCCTTATCCTCCTAAGGAGCTGGGACTACAGGAATATGCCACCACACCTGGCTAATTTTTCTATTTTTTTAGTAGAGACAGGGTCTTGCTTTTGCTCAGGCTGATCTTGAACTCTTGGGCTCAAGCAATCTACCCACCTCAGCCTTCCAGATGGCTTAGATTCCAGGCATGAGCCACCTTGCCCAGCCTAAACTTCAAAGGTTTCTAATGCCTCCCACAAAGCTCTAGCCTCTCATCAACAGACCTTACCTGGGAAGCTTCCCCAAGATTGCCCTGGTTCATGGGCATGTATCCAGATGATGGATTTAAAAGGCTCTGGCTCTAGGATAAAAAAAGTAATGAAAAGGTTTAAGATTAAGTTTTAAGATTAAAGGTTTTAGAAGGGAGAATATACTCTTACCATAGGGGGCCAGGAGTGGTTAATCTGTCTGTAGGGTTCATGAGGGCTCAGAGTGTAGAGAATTGGGTAATTATTTAGGAGGTGTCTTACCCCACGTGGTCGATTAAGTGTTCCAATGGGTAGGCTGAGGGCAGAGCCCAGTGTGGTTGCCAGATTGTCCTCCTCTGCTTCCAAGTCTAGGTCTAGGTCTAGTTCTGGCTCCAGCTCTACTTCTTCTAGTTCCTTGTCTGTAAGAGCAGGAGGCTCTGCCCCAGGTGCTATTCCAGGCCCACTCTCTCTCTATAGGAACAGGTGATTGTTAGGGTAGATCCTGGTTCCAGCCAAGTCCCCTTTTCTCTAAATTTCTTTGATACCTCTTAGTTCCTACTTACCTTTATGACCAGATACCGGGGTGGGTCTCGGGCCATCCTGGTGAATTCATTGGCTAATTCTTTAAAGGTTGGTCGAATGTTCTCATCAATCATCCAGCCTAGGGGTGAAATGTTAAGAGGTAGAGACATAAGAGGGAATAGAGCCATAAGTAGAGAGGTAAGTCAGGTAGAAAATGGCTGGGATCAGCAGATAACTCACACTTGACCATCACCATGTAGACATCAATGGTGCAGATCTGGGGCTGTGCCAACCGTTCCCCTTTCTCTAGCAGATCTGGCACTTCAGCCAATCGTAGCCCTGCATAGGGCTCAGCTCCGAAGGTCATCAACTCCCAAACTGTCACACCTGATGACAGGAAGAAATGAACTAGTAGGTGGTAAAATGGTAGATGTGGTTATGAAGTGAAAGGAAGGCATAACCTGAATTTTTTTTTAAAGAGACAGGGTCTTGTTCTGTCACTCAGGCTGGAGTGCAGTAGCATAATCATAGCTCACTGTAATCTTGAACTCCTGGGCTCAAGTGATCCTTCTGCCTCGTGACTGTAGGCATAAGCCACTGCACCAGGCTAATTTTTAAATAATTAAAAAGAGTTTTGGGGGCAGCTCCTGTGGCTCAAAAGGGTAGGGTGCCAGCCCCATATGCTGGAGGTGGTGGGTTCAAGCCCAGCTCCGGCCAAAAAAAAAAAATGTTGCCTTGAATAAACCAATTCGTTAAAAAAAAAAAAAAAAGAATTTTTGCATAGATGGGGATCTTGCTATGTTCAGGTTGGTCTTAAACTCTTGGCATCAAATGATCCTCCTGCCTTGGCGTCTCGGAGCGCTGAGATTGCAGGCATGAGCCACTGTGCCCAGGAGAATGTGATTTGACACAAGGATCTGAAGTGCTTAGAAAAGGGGTCTCAAAGGCAACTGTGAAATTGGACCACTGATGGTATGGAGGGCACTGAGATACACTGACCATAGCTCCAGACGTCACTCTGGTGTGTGTATTTCCCAAAGTGAATACTCTCAAGGGCCATCCACTTAATTGGAGTCTGAAGATTAAAGATAAAGGTGTCACCAGTTGATTTCTACACACTTTCTTAGCATTTCCAACCCCCAAATTCTCTTATCATTCTTTTCTTTGTTTCTCTCTGAACTTAAATTTCTGACATCTCTAGCTTTCTCTTCATGAACTTACCATGAGGCATGAAGGATCTGCCTGCCTCTGAAGGAAACCACTGCCTCCTCCCCAACCCCATGCTTCACTCCACTCTTACCTCCTTCCCCAGCCCTTTCTGTCACCTTACCTTGGCCTCACTATGTAGTAGCTGTTTATCATCCGGCGGCAGCAGATCAGCCACACCAAAATCTGCTACCTGAACCTGACTAGGTGACTTTAGTAGCACATTTCGGGCAGCCAGGTTCCTATGTACCATACCGTGCTCCTCAAGGTAGTACATCCCCTAAAGGGAAGAAAGTATTCTCAGGGTTGGGGGAAATCAGTCAGTCACTGAGATCTAGAATTCTCCCCAAACCTGAAGATATGTCTCAGAACTTCAGCCTTTCTGCCCTAGCCCAGCAGTTTTTTTTTGTTTTTGTTTTTTGAGATAGTGTTAGTATGTTACCCTTGGTAGAGTGCCATGGTGTCACAGCTCACAGCAACCTCAGACTCTTGGGCTTAAGCAATTCTCTTGCCTCAGCCTCCCAAGTAGCTGGCACCACAGGCACCTGCCACAATGCCCAGCTATTTTTTTAGAGATGACATCTTGCTCTTCCTCAGGCTGGTCTCAAACCTGTGAGCTCAGGCAATCCACCTGCCTTGGCCTCCCAGAGTGCTAAGATTAGAGGTGTGAGCCACTGTGCCCAGCCCAACAGGGCAGTTCATATCATAGAGCTCCTCCAGGCTCCTCTCACCTTTGCAATTTGCACTCCCCAGTTGAGCAGCAGCTGTGGCCCTAGTGCTCCCCGGTGTTGTCTTACATGATCCAGGAGGGAACCCAGAGGCAAGTATTGAGTGACAAGCTGCAGAGATGATCCTGGGCATAGTCCCAGCAGCCGTACAATGTGGGCATGGTCTAGACTGCCAATGGCCAGCATATGCTAAGAGACAAGAGGTATTATCCAGGAAACAAACAGATTCACATACAGTCTGCACATGGCACACCCAGACCAGGGCCCCCCAGCATTTAAGTACATCAACATGGCTGACATGGCTGTTAACACAGGGCCATGCTTCTTTTTTTTTTTTAGACAGAGCCTCGAGCTTTCCCCCTGGGTAGAGTGCTGTGGCATCACAGCTCACAGCAACCTCCAACTCCTGGGCTTAAGCGAGTCTCCTGCCTCAGCCTCCCAAGTAGCTGGGACCACAGGCGCCCACCACAA